AAATTTAAATTTAAAATTAAATTTAAAATTAATTAAATTTAAAGTTAAGATTTTTTTTTTAGATTTTGATTCTCCGATTACAAGACAGCACCTAAAGAACAGTTACATGTGAACAGTACTTCCCTACAGTTTTGGAGTTAGATCTTTAAAAAATGTAGTCATAGTTATTTCTATAGTCAATATGAGTAATAATGTATGATAAGTTACAAGGAGCAAGCTGAAAAACATCCTATGTTTTCAACTGCTGAGCTGTATATGAAGTGTGAAAAAATTCAATAAACAGAAAAGACAGAATTTAATGTCTTCAGAATTCTTTATCTCCCACATAAGAATCACTGTAAGAATACCTCTTCTCCCCAGAAAAACAGATTCCTAGAACTGGACAGTAAATTCCTTACGACAGGGGGCAGAGTTCAGAAGGACTGACAGACTTTTGCCAAAAGAAATAAAAAGATTAAAAAAATGCTGCAATACCTATAGAAAAGATCAAATATTTGGGTTCTATAAATTGGAAAGTGAATGAAGTGCACCTTTGTAAAGGTAACATGGGAGGTGCTATCACACTTATAACAGAATGCTAGATGAGTCTTGCTGTGGAAAGGTGACATTAAAATACAAGGAAGTTACTTGTATACAATATCAAAGATGCCAATTATTTTAATTATATTGTTTATACAACAAAGCAAGAGCATATGTAAATGTGTGATTTAGTCTATTACTATACATATCCTCTACACTAAACGTTACTGCTGAAAAATTAAATTGTTTGTCTTAGCTCCCTATGGTCCTTTTTCCTAGAACTACAATCAACTCTTTTTTTCTGTACATCTCAAAATACCTAGCTTCACTGATGGAAAAGCCAAAACACCCAAATCCTACATTCAAAATTCCATCCAACTAGAAAGAAAGCTCATCTTAAGGCTTGTCAAAACGTTTTTATTATTAGTGCTAGGAGTAAGAATCTGATCTTTCCATCAAATAAATGCAGTGTAGATGTGCCAAGAAAACTAGAATAAATACCTAGTTGTTTGGAAATTTTCAAGTTGACAAGGCAACTTTCCTCTATAGCACCATCAGAATTTGTTGGAAAAACTAGCTAGCATAACGACTGAATGCTTGTTGATGTGCTTCTTCAGATGTGCATACATTTTGATAGCTAAAATAATAATGCTCTAAAATGTTTTTCATATTAAATTGATGTCATAGGCTTTCTTAGTGCAGAAAAATAAAGAAATTAGTCATCAACTGTACATGTAAGTAATCATGGGACACAATACTTATGAAGAATCTATGTGGCCAAAAAAAGTATTAAAATTCGCCCTGATCTGCTTAGATTTGTCAAATTACATTCCATAGCTCAAAAGATAGCTTCTCATCAGTGAAGTTCCACATATGTACAGTATATTTGATATCAAACTTAGCTAGAGGGCATACTGAAATATTACACTAATTTGTGCAGAGGAGCTGACATGATGTACAATGGCCTAAAGCTAGAAGTGGAACCCCATGGGGAATGACAAAACACACTTTTAAACAAATGACTGCTGTATTAATGGTGATCTAGGATATTTTTTTGTCAGTTAAATTGCTTCCAAGGACACTTGTAATTAATACCATGTATTGATTTTCACTACTCTTAAGAAACCTTATACTTTGGAAAAAGAATAGTTGCTTTCTATACTGACAGTCTGCTCTTTTCTGTTACCAAACCTTACATTAGAAAAGGTAATTTTATTTTAACAGTTCATCAATCCTAAGTAAAATCACCAGGAACTAATATGCATCTGTTCACACAAAGAGCAATTTGTATGATATCAGTTTTCTTGCCTATCATAGCTGAAAGATTTGTTTCATCTCAGCTTCTAAGCTTAAAAATCTGTACTTACTAAACACCCTAGGCACACTATGAGAATTTTACATGCTTTTGTTCTCAAAAACCACATTCTACACATTCCAGTAGGTTTGGAAAGTAGTAAGTTTTCCAGCTTCCAGGAAGTAATCTTGACCTTAAACCCACAAGGGCACAACAGTTCCAACTCCCTGCACCCCTTTGACCCAAACCTTCTACTACACTAAAACCAGCTATTAAGAGAGCATGGGTAAGCAGAAAACACCCTAACATATCTCCCAAGCCACAGCTATTTAGCCTAACCTCATATGTCCAGTGATACTCAGGGGATTGGGGCTTAATTTAAGAACTTAAGAACTGTGTGGTTTCAGAACAGAAAAGGAAAATTTAGATGTTAGAATAAATAATTATTTATAAAAACACATTTTTCTACACATTTCTTCTCTACACATGCTGATGTGCCATGACACCTTTATCTCCAACTGACACAGAACATAGTTATACATACCACAGTTTGGTGGTTAACTTGAATCACTTCATCCCCAGCATGGATTTTCTTGCACCGATCTGCAGGTGACTGAATTTAAAATAAAAGAGATGATAAAGAATACAGTTCTTACTGGTCATCATCTCTCTTTCAGCAGTATGATTGCTAAGCTATGTAAATCAAGTTAGATTGATAATGACATTCTACTGTGAAATAAAGAATTAAAGAAATATTTAATAAATCAATTCATTGTTGTTCGAGAAAAATAATCTGTATTATTGTACACAATACAATCAAATGTTAAGAAAGTTATGAATATTTTTTTTATTAAAGGGTTACCAAGTCCTAAGGATTTCTTTTTAATTTCATTCTGCCAAAAGAGTGCTTTAATCTGCCTGACGTCTCTTAAGCCTTGAAAGCCAATCTTTGGATGAATTTTGAGCCTATCAAGACTAATTAGCAATTCCTCATAAACAAATTTCACAACTTTGCCTTTGTATTCTACAACATTTCAATATGTTGCAGAGAACTTCAGTAAATTACTGTTCTTCAAAGAGTACACAAGGAGAGAGGTTAGGTTAGGTACCAGCTAGGAAGATCACGTAAGTTACACAGTAACTACGTTTCTGGGTCATTATTAGGGTGAAAGAAATGTAACCAGCATCAAAATCCTACAAAGATCACACTTTCAAAAAGTAAAGTAGTTGTCGTCTTTGCTTTTGTCTCAAAAAAACCCCACCCCAACAACAAAAAAATAAAAATCCAAACTAAAACCCCCACAACAAAAAAACCCACAACAAAAAAAAACCAAACCTCCCACATAAAGTGACACCCCCCCAAAACTTTCCCTTCTTCTGCCTTCTGTATTTACAGCAGACCAACTGTTTTCTGAGGGCCATGCCCCTATGTTTAGAGGAAAATAGTTCTTTCAGCTCTTCAAAGAGTGACAATGCTTTGATTTTTCTCTCAATACTGTGACTGCCAGCCCATGAAGGCACTTAATCAACTTAAAGGTAGAAGGTGAGACTGGCAGTTTGAAAAAAAAAACTGAGTTGCTCAGGAGTAGGTTTCTGAAAACCTACTATGAATTTTACAGAAAGGAATGAAATTAAACTAATTTTCAGGTGAGATAACAGGTCATCTAGAGAATATGCTCCAGACCTGAAATGTGGACAGTTTGTAGTAACCTATGTACCACATCCCCATTCAAAATATATGTCCCATAGCTACATCATGACTTTCTAGTACAATTCCATGTAATTCATGTCCTAAGTTAGGGACAGTGTTTAAATGGAAGATATCCAAGAGCAACATGAGGTTGAAAGAAGGGTCACTCATGACTCAATCCTAGGAGACATTGCTCAGAACATCCTAAATCAAGCTGGGCTGACAAAAGTGTAATTTTACTTACATAAAGAACACCAGTCTTGACTTTTTGGCACTATTTCAGCATTAAAGGTGTTGGCTGAGTGACTTGGGGAAAAATTTTAATGCTGCTGATTAAATTCAAATGATCTATCTTCTGCCTGCCATTTCACTACTCACACTTACTCATTCATACCTCTAACAATCTTTACAATCCTCCAATGTAATACTGCTATTTTAGCTCAGATGTAGCTACACCTAAGACTTTCAAAATGTCAATGCAAGTGAATCTTGTGTCATTACCCTTGAACTCTACAGGACTGTATCACGATACAAACGTTCTCCTACATTAACTTCAGCACTTGCACCTTAAATCTTGACAAAACAGGTATTTTGTGTAGCAGTTTGCCAAGCCAGTAAATATGGTCTGAGAATCTTCAAACTGGAAAAGTCTACTTTAAAAAAACTCATTGCAATTATGCCTCGAACACACTGCAAGGTGAGGTAAAAATCATTTATACAGGAGTCTCAAGGCTGTGGTCTTATGAAGAAGTTGCAACTTTTGTTCCTTACCCATTTTTCCTCCCAAGTAAAGAATACAGACCTTGTTGTAAAGAAGTATTATCTTTTATCATGACTATTTAAGGAAAACAGAGAACTGATGAGCCCTTTCCTTTTTTAGATGTATATGCTGATCATTAAGCAAAACAATCCATTCAAGAAGTCCTACTAGGAGGAACAAAATGTGTCACATCACAGCTATACCTTTATTAGCTGGTAAATCAGTTCAACAGGGAGTTGAACAACAGATGGAAGCACCTGTCGCTGAGGCTCACACATTGATACCATACAAGGTACTCAGAATCTGCTTAGGATTTATTCTTCAGAATAGATTTAGCTTTGTCATTTAGGCTAAATGTTGTATTTTTCCCATTTCCCCAGTATACCCACACTGTCTGAAAGACCAATTTAGACAGCCTGGAGCACATTTGTTGCATGCCCACAAAGGAGATTTTTGTGTTACTTCTTCTGAAAGGCCTCTCTTCCCTGAGATCTAAAGGCAACCCACAAACTCAACCAGTGCACAGTAACTGGGTACACTGGGAGCACCCCCTTCAAAGTTACACTCCTGCTAGAGATGCACCGCATGCTGTTACTTTTGAAAATACTTTTTTCTATTGGAAAACCAAATTACAAAATGGCCTTATTTGAAGAATACATTTGTTTTGTGAATTAAAAGAATCTGTCCAACATGGTGTAAAAGGTCTACTCAACAAGAAAGATGTAATCTCTTGCTGGACCAATACACCCTTTAGATTTGTTACTTCCAAACAAAAGAGAGAAGATGTGAACCAGAAAGCTCAGCTTGCTCTAATGCTACAGGACCACCAGAGAGAAGCTCTTACAGGGCAGTGACCTGTGAGGAACCCTGCTCTCTCACAGTTCAAGTTTCAGAGCTCAGCTGCTTTAAACTGCAGGGCTGATGTGTTGGGAGAGATGACTCCTGATGCTGAACAGCAAGATCCAAACTCTAATGGGCTTTGTAGCTGGACATCAAACACTTCAAATGGCAAACAGAAAAAGGAGAACTGTGGTTACAAATACCACTCCATTACATTAATGCGGCTAGTACTGCTGTGCTTCTGTGTTTATTAAAGAGACAAGTGCTTCTCGGTGATCTTTCAGAAAGTGTCAGACAAGAAGTTGTGCCAATGTCTCACTTGGAGGAGCAGCATTGGAAAGAAAGCAGCCACAAAATTTTGTTCAAAGGGAAGAGAATTTGGATTCTTACTGTTTCCTAGAAGTTACATTGTGTCACAAATAGTAAACATGTCAACATCAACAGGTCAGATCACATCTGCACCATCATGACCTTGCTCTGGCCATGCTGCTTAGATGTTTCTCCTCCCATCTGTCAGAATCATACCTTTTTTTTTTTTTCTTTTTCTTTTTCTTTTTTTTTGGTTAAAGGAACTGTGTGTTTAAAAGCAGGAGACACCTTACTTTCTCTAAGGTGTTACTCATTTCCACAAATGCTTTAACACACAACAGGTTTTTCCCTAGATAGCAGACTGCAGTTTCTCAGTCAGCTGTGAGCACCTCCAGGGTGTTACAGTGAGTGAAAGAGTCAGTAATGAAAGCAGAAAAGTTATCATGACTGAAGCTTCCTGACGTGGCTTTAAATTATATTCATGAATCATGAAAGATAAGAGTTTTGAGGGAATGCATTAGGATTTTATTTTTATCTTTGCCTCTGGGAAATTAAACCCAATATTAGTAAGTCATGGAAAGAAATGGTTCGGTTTTTAATCTGAGAGAAACTCAACTGTAAAAACCATCCTCCTTCTTTCATATGTTTTCTAGATTAAGCTCAACTATGGCTCTGTTGTTTTTGTTTAGTTTTGCTAATTTCACCGATGATATCTGTAGCTGTAGGTCTGACTCCCTATAATTTTTATTTCAAAGTTGAAATTCTTTATGTTTTCTTTATTCTGAGACAGGTGGCATTCACAGAAGTTCTACAACAGATATTATCTATTGGGTATAACCCATGGATATCCTGCCTGCAGCAGAAGAAGAAAGAAAGAAGAAAGGCTATCAGGTTGCAGTTCCTATGAAGGGATGGGAATAATATTCCTGTTTTATTGAGAAGTTAACAGAACCTTACTGCGGATCAGAGGCAGCAGCTGTAAATACCATGTAGGTAGTCTGCACTTTCCACAGTATGATACAGTAGCAGGATAAAACAAACATTTCTGACAGCTTCATTTTAAGAAAATGCCATCAAAATCTGTGAAAGGAATTGCCTAAACCACTATGGAACAGTTCGGGGTTCTTTAGTGGCTTGTTCCGTGTTCATTGAAGATTATGGACAGAAGCCTTTCCCCCCAGAATGATCCTTTTGCTCACTTCCTAACAGACAGCCAGTTCTCTAAATATGGTGTACAAGGAAAGGAGGTTGTACTTCAAAGGCAGTTGCAAAGTAGTCTGTTATGTTTTGCGTGCTGTTTAATATCTTCAGTGAGAATTAGTACACCGGTAGTAAGTGTTCCTTTCTATAAGCATTACTCAGAAGTTCATGCAGAAATATATAGTTATTTGTCAATGTGAAGGGATGTCCTCATTTCATGCACTTACTTATTACAAAATAAAGCTTGATAGGTGGAAAATATAAAAGCTGTTTGTCTAATACTGCAGCAAACTCCAGCATATCAGCCTACACATAATAAAGACATTTATCTTTTATTCACAGAGCAAGGTAATTCCAACACAGCTACTTCCTATCTTGATCAACTGCAGCATTTTAGGTGTCTTGCAAGAACAAATTGAAACTGATTCCCCTGGTCCTCAACTGGGAACAACTCTTTCAATTCTGAGGTAAACAAGCACAAGCGTTTCTGCCGTCCAACATGCTATTGGTCCTCAACAGCCAACTAGCACATTTTTGCAAGCAAAATGTAGTCTGTAGCAAAGGGAAAGCATAAACCACAGGTAAGGTCAAAAAGGCTTCCAGGCCTGAACATACAGTATTAACAATACTTACATTTTCTGTTGTTCCAGTAATTACATGGAGACCATCATATGTTGATTTAATGTACATACCCTAAGAAAAAGACATCATGGGAAAGAATTTTTAAAGTGTTTCACAAACCATCACCATCCAAACATAACTTGCATATCTCTAAAAGAAAAGCCTTTTTTTCCTTCTTTCTTTTTTTTCTTTTATTTTAAGATTTGTGGACTTCTAATATATGCCATGAGGAATTTGTCTCTGGATAGGAAAGTGCTTTCTGATACACTCTGAGAACAACAGCCCAAATGATTCCGGCCCTAATTAGCAATAGCAAACTAAAACTTTTACCACAGCCATCTCCATAAATACTCCCCAGGTTTTTTAATATACTCCTTTAACTACAAATATAACACCACCTGATTACAAAAAAACCCAGAACTACAAATTGCCTTAGGATGATCAATATTTCCATTTTGCTTTGGAAGCTACAGAAGACTTTAAAAGGTCTGGAGTCTCTGGTAGGCAATGCTGCAAGCATAACTTTCAGATTGATAACCAATGCTCTGAAGCACGCCTGCAAAATGGCTCTAAGACTTTCTGATAGCCTCACTCATCTCAGTGAACAGGTCAGCTATAAAACTCAATGATGAAAACTTAAAACGTCAACTTTGTTAGCTATCCTACTTCTGTCATAAATATGTGGAAAAGGAAGGATAGCTTATGAACAGACAGAAATTCCTGCATGGGTAGTCTGAGACAGTACCTCAGACTTTTCATCATGTCATAATTCAAACATTTTAACAGCATCCACTAAGACAGTGAGAGAAGGAAAAAGGAGAGATAATTGGCATACACTGAGCATTCAACAACTTCTGAGGAATCTCCTTTCCCCGAAACGGTTCATAGAAAGCAGGTAAATATTGAGTACTCGAGGAAACATTATCTCCGTAACCTACTTTTTCTCCTTTTAATCAGAGTGCCACAAAGTCTGTTCCTATCTGAGGAACAGGGTGCACTCACTGTTATTAAGTATGGTAAAGAGGCAAAGAAGACATGTCAGGTTGGACTAATCTAATTTGGGACCAGAACACACAGACATTTTGGTAGTGGAGACAAGGAAGTACCCCCCACTTAACAAAGTGGATGATATCCCCAGTAAAAAAAAAGGGACTTTACGAGTTTCTCAGGAGAGAGGGCTCAAAACTAAACTCCTATTTTGCTCTACACAATACGTAGCAGTAATGGCATCAAATCCAGTTGTCATACTGGGCTGTCCCAGCTAGAAGAGAACAAAGCTCATTACTACACAGATAGGAAGCCTCTAGCATCATTCTTCAACTTCCAGCTCCTCTATGCACCTTCAGCAATTTTGCCATTGATTGGCTCCATGCACGTAGTTTCCTGCTTAATTCAGTTCTCTCAAATATAGAATGGCAATTTCTTATACATTTATCCTCACAACACCCCTGTGAGGTAGGGAAACACTAATATACACACATTTTACAGACAGGAAAATGGAGCCACACAAGAGGCTGAGATATATTGGTATCTGTAATTTGGTACTGATACCTACCCCAAACAAAGAAAAACCAAACAAAAACCAGGACCTAAATCCCTCTCAGGATCTGGATCTAAGTGACCTGGCCATACACCCTGCGATGTGGCAAGAGCTGAAATCATGGTGATTTCACGGTGACAGCAACTATGAGTCAGGTCCCCACACAGAGCAATTTCTGAAGAATGTCACATCTTTGTTTTTATTGACAGCGAGTTACTGCTTTCAACTTAAAACATCACGCTGAAAGCAGAGGATAAAGTCTCACACTTAATGGTGACACAGTGTTTAGTTCTGTGCAAAGCATTATTCTGAAGGATAGTAAGGTCATCCAAGTATGCTATCATGGCGGAGTGTAATTCACATCTAATCTAGTCTTTTCTAGAAATTTAAAAGACTTTGAAGAAGCAAAAGAGGAGAAAGAATTTTTGCAAAATTTTCTTTAAAGGCTAAGATCAAGATTTTGCTCACATTGGGAAAGAGGGAAGCTGCAAAAAAAGATCATTTTTATTCCACACATGCAAAATTAATAAATGTTACACTAGTACTATGCCACATTAATTTTGCAAGAGCCAGCATAATTCTGTTTACAAAGCAGCTTTTAAATGGTGAGACGTAACATTTTGCAACAGAAAGATGAGCTACCCTTTCACCCACATTCCTCCATGCCTTGTTTTAAATGAACAATATACGGGAAATGGTACAGAGAAGAGAATGTTTCTGGCTTATTGTTTGATCTGGAATGGAAATAAGAATATTATAGACATTTACAAGTTTTCCCCTCTCTGCCTCCTCGTGGCTGCACAAATATCAACAGTACTTTTAGTGATCAAGAATACAGGGGAGATTAGCATGTGTGCTGTTCATTTGTACTGAAACAAATTGGCAGATACGCATCTTAGGTATCCAGAGATAACGCCGTGGTCCTTATGAATTTACAAGGATCGGTTAGGTCAAATAAAAGGAAAGATAATTCAGGTAATGTGATTAAAATAACCATAAAGTAACCACCCTAGGAATCAAGAACATATGTATGCCTAGAGTAAAGATGGGGTAACTCATGCTTAATTACATCACAGATTGTCCTTCCTGATCAGTTATGGGAAGAAGTCTAATTTCAAACCACACATTTTATCTTGGTGAAAAGTATTATTCAGTTAAGGGTTAGAAAAGAGACCTTGTACCTTTTTTCTGGTTTTTTTTTTTTTTCTGTTTTTTTAAAGAATGAAACCAGAATCTGATATACTTTTAACACACTTTATGTAATGCTGGATGGAAAAGAAAAGAAGATACTAGTTCCATTTTATCACACACATAGCTGAATTTTTACTCTTTCACTGTGACATCATCTTAATGGAGTCCCCCAAAGTTGCATGTGCCTCTTTAACCCCAAACAGTTCTCACAACCCTGTTCATATTTTTTTCCCAGCTCCTCCAATATTTCAAGCCAAAGAACTCAGGAGATATATTAAGAACAGTAGTACACTGGATTCCTGGAAAATACTTTCTAGCTAGGCAGCCAGCAGTGCACCTTTAACCAGCTGCCACACTCTACTGTATCTACAACTTGTATTTTATGGGTGCTTTTTCACATGACAGGCTCATTTTGTGTTTGCTTCAGCAGGCAAAGAGGAGCCCGGAACAGTCAGTCTCATGTTCTGGTGGATTCACTTTTGTGTTTCTGAATCTAGCAAGCTAGGTGAATAGCTGTTACTTGAAATCATATCATAGTACCTGAACTGACTAGGATTAAAATGATAATATGAAAAGGAAAAAATAAAATTGAGGATTAATCCTTGCCACAGTTCTCTGATATTAGAAAAATAGAATAGAAAGGGACTGTTGAAGAAAACTTCCCAAGGAAAAGTGGTAGGTATAACTTGGTTACCTGCTTTTTGTCTAACAAAAGGCATACAGTATTGTGCTTCTTCACTAAATACATTCACTGTTTTCAGTCAAGCAGTAATATTTTTAAGTTTGTTTCCTGCCAAAAGATACTATCTAAGCTAGTCAGTTTTGTCTCTTTCTAGAACATCAATAGTGTAAAAACACACAAAATTAAATTCTGCTTAATGATACAGATAAAACAACTTCCAAGTCATCAAAAAAAAAAAAAAAAAGAAAAAAAGAAAAAGAAGTGGTTACTCATGGAAGCATGCTGGTGATTGCAAAGCTGACCACATTAATCCATTTCAGAGCTTTTTAGAAGAATTTTCTACTCTGACAACTCCCTTTTCACCCTTAGTTCACAAACACTGCAGGCCATGTCTCTTCCTGCAGCAACACTCACTGGAGAACACTGTATGCAGCCAGTCATGTAACTACCCCTGGGCAACAGACCAGTGATAGTGGAAAGGAAAAAAAAAAAAGAAAAAAAAAAAAATCAATACCAAAACCCACCCACCCATAATGTTGCTTTACCCAGTACGCAAGTTTCCTCACATCACACCCTAACAACATTTTCTGTTTGCCAGGTTGTTTAGTCTGTTTTTCTGATAAATGTTAACTAGTTTTAATATCTATTAAGACACTGTAAACCCTATAACACAATTACTGTTTCCTTCTGCATTAAGGTTTTAGTCTGACAATTTACATTATCCTCCAACTGGTACTTACGTTTCCACAAAAAACAAGGTCAAACACAATGAAGGAAGTATTTGTGCTGATTAAAACACCTGACAGTGCTCCAATGTGTTTTAAGTTGTAAAAACTCCAACCATTTTATCAATTCCATCTTGTATTTAGCATATGAGTTTAGGGAAATAGCATTGTTTTCTGAACTTTTTATTTCTTTCTCCTTTCCTTTTTCTCACCCTGATCTACTTTAGCTTCTCAGATATTAAATTTGAAACTTGTTAGATATTCTGTTTATGCTAGGTGACAAAAAAAAATCTTCCCAGTTAGCTGCCATCCTTGTCCTTTTCCTTCTATGTTAAGTCTTTCCATCTTTATAGAAGATTTTATTTAGTGATCGGTAGAGTCAGCACAGGACTATCATGTGGATCAAAAATCTAGAAGTTGACAATAATCCATTTTTCCATCTCCATCGTTGCACAAATCCTGGAAGAAGGTCCAGAAGTTATCAAGCTTCACATCCATCCAAGTACTCCTGAAGTCCAGAGGATATTCACAACTACAAGCTCCACCATCAGTTCTTAAACTGGCACACTTAGCACTCAACAGGGCGGTACTGATATGCATTCACTGTATCTTATTTGAAAGATTTAGTTTAAAAACCAAAAAAACAAAAAGCCCAACAACCCAAAAGCAAAGCTTTCATATAGAGCACCAAGAGCAACTTGACAAAGATGATCTGTTAGTAAGACTGGCACTGTAACAAACTGAAAGGTATGATATTTACCCTCCTGGTGCAAATATATCATCCTTAGTTCCTGCTCTGGAGAGCTCACAATCTAGAGGACATAGCACAATACAGAGGCAACAGCATAGAGGCAAGGGTGAAGGGAAAAAAAAATGACCATATCAAAATAGCATTGTATCCTGCTAAGGCTAGTATACCGTACAGTTGGTATTTTCCATTTTTAAAAAATACATATAATAATTTTTATGACAATGACATGGTAGCCCTCAGTTAGCACAAAGACCCTGTTCAGCTGGTTCACAAATACATACTAAAAGAAAAAACCCTGCCTTAAGAGCTTCCTGTTTAAACAGACAAGACAGACAGAGGGTATAAAACAGAGGCACAGAGGGGGAAGAGATTCTCTATCTGATCAGCTACCCAGCAGGAACAGACCCACCAAACACATTCTTACTTACAAAAATACTGCTCAACATTTTTCAGTCACTGGGGGTTGACACCAACCTACAGAAAGACTTAAATGAGGGGAAAAAACAGTCACGAGACAGAAAAGAAAATAAAGAAGAACTCAGATAAAAATGGACAGAACTCCAAAAAAAGGTGGTTGAGAGAAAGGGGAAAAACATTTCTTCATTACAGCAGAAGGTAGGATTTTGAAAGGCTGACTGCAGTGAGCTGGTGGAAGAGATAAAATTACAGGAGAAAGAGAAGGAGGAGAGAATCCATGAAAAGCTGAAATCCTGGAGGACTAGTTTGAAATGGATTCAGAGATAAAAAAGAAAGCCAGTGGACGAAGGGAAAACAAATAGCAGACTAAAACAAAGGATTGGGCAATATTTATTCATCCAAATGTTTAGTTTTTTTCTCGTATTTTAATTGCAAATTGCCAAAAGAGTGGAAAAATAATGCATAATTGCTCTAATTACCTTGGCATACAAATTTGTCAAAAAACCAAACCAAACCAAAACCCCAAACCCGACAACAGCCAACCCACAAACCAAAACACTCACCAAAACTACACCATCCAAACAACTTCAAAAACCTACTGCAAAGAGCACAGCAGTAGTCCTTCTTATTCAAAAAAACTGAATGAGAATAAGCTTGGTCAGAAGTTGCAAAAGCTATTTCATTAGAAAAAAATGGTTAACTGTATTCTGATCACCTTCTACTACCTCCAAGGACTGTGTGAAGAGATGTTATTAGTGATGTAAAGTTGTAGAACTGTAATTGCTATCAGTGTGGTTTTTTTCCATGCAGTGGGTGCTGGATACTTAAGTAAACAAAAGGTCAATGGTCAGCTCTTGAACAGCAAACATGGGATGGCTGCACTGAGCCTTTAAAAGCACCTGATTAAGCATGCAGAGTTCTTGCAATAAAATTCAATAAGCTACTGCTCAGCAGTGCTGTAGAGCCCTTGAATAACTTATAAAATAGCTTTATATCCCAGAGATACTATGAAGCATATTCCAGAATTTGACAGGTTTTGTGCATAAGCCCACGCAAACTTCTTTGGTTGAGTTGATCTTAGTAATTTAAATCCCTTCAGACTTCAAGATCCTGGAACAATCTGAACCATTTTTCAGAAGCTGGTATAAATGGCAAGAACTTCTCGCTCATTTCTCCCTGTTCACTAAACTCTGCATACATCGGTCAGCCTTACAAAATACTTCCCTGTTGGCCCAGCTGCATGAGAAACCAAACTAGCAAGAGAAATTAAACTGTTTTCAGATTTTAAAATAAAAAAAGCTAAGATGTCCTATTCCTTTCCATATATACACCTTATTTTAAAAAATTCACTTTCTCATCCTGGTTGATGGGTTTGATTAACTGCGTACTTCTTACCAGCCCTTCACTTGGCTTGATGTTTGTAAGCTGGATCACTTCAAGGTGAGCAGACTGGGAAACCAGTGGATCAGAAGAGAGAGAGATAATGTGATCACAGACGCCAGAGAGAGTTTTACACTAGGAAAGAAAAAAGAAAATAAAATGTCACAATAAGCATGCCATTACTAACTATTTGCATATCACCCTACAACTTAACAAACTGCATTTTTAAAGTATGTATTAAATCACACTGCTGAATCTACAAGGCAGAGGGAATGAAGGAGGAGGGGGAAAGGCCTCAGTAAGCAGCACAATACAAAATCCGTTTTCTGTGATGACCCTGAACTAACACAGCGCCAGACCAGGGAAGAACAAGAGGCAAATGCTTTTGCATCTGAGTAGAGAGAAAAAAGGACTGTGCGAGCTGCTCCCATGCGCTCTCAGGGTTCAGCACCCTGCCTCGGAGCGGTGCTCAGGCATGCAGGGAGCGCATGGTGAACTCCAACCCCCCTCTCTGCCCACATCTTTTGCAAAGACATTAAGCGCCCCCAAACCCTGCCAATTTCAGTTGAACATGCAGATGTTCAGCACAGACGAAAATCAGGCTCTTAACAATGATGGGTAACTCCCATTAACTCTGAAGTTTATTCTATACTAATAAAACATGCTAATTGACTTTGGACTGAGTTTCTCATGTTCTACTGCTGCCAAGCATGATTTACTATTGCAGGCATGAAGATTACAATAAATAACCACTTCACGATGGGATAATTCTTAAACCTGTTATCCTTGGCAGCCTCTTCGCAGCAAGAGAGAAATAAAAAAGCTTCTAAAAGGCTGGGACTGTCAAACGGGTACTGTGTATCTCCTCATCTCACTCCCTGAACACCCTCTTCTCAGAAGCAGGGAAGCTGTGATTTTTTTCCTATCATTCTCTCATATTTCTGTAAGCAAGTGATTTTTGAGAGTTTCAGTGTTTTCTGTGAAGTCCCCTTTCAGCAACTAAAACTGATTTCTCAGTTCAGGTTTCCAAATGCGTGTTTTGTCAGCAAATTCAGGGATTAGAACATTCTTCTGGTCCCAAAACTGTGGGTACCTCCAAAACCAATTAAAAACCAGCTTAACTGCTTTCAAATGCAAAAGATGAGAGCTGACCAGTCTCCTCAAATGACTGCAACACAACTGCACACGACTGCTGCACCAACCACTCTTCCAAGATGGCAAAGCATACTTCTTAAAGTAAAAAATATCTACAACAATGCTACGGAAAAATTATATAAAACTGGATATAACCTCCTTGCCAAATCACCATTATAATTCCAAATGCCAAACTACAAATATCTTATATAAAAAGGAAAGTAAAAAAACTTAAAGTGATAAAAGCAAAAAAAAAAAATCCAGTGACAGTGAAATCTTAATCCTGTTACCGGCCACTACATTAGGATTTTCTCCTCTTTAAATTATTTGCAAACAGTTGGAAATTTAGGTTTGTACATAGTTGGCTTATTTTATTGAACAATAATATTTCAGAATGAATAAACAAATGAGAATCAAATGCATAACATAACAAAACTTGTATTACCAGCATGACCTTCCTCCGGAGATAATATTATCTTCAAGCATAGACACAGACACACACACACACACACACACGCATCCCCCCACCCTTTCTGCTTTATCTGTATTTCCCGATGCAGAATCATTACCAAAAAAAGGAAGTAAAGAAATACATAAAATGAGGTTAAGAATGCTTTGTGCTTTACCTGAATTAGGAAGAAGTGAAGAAGTGAAAAAGTGAACTTTATTGCAAAATTGGGTTTTTATGGCTTTTTAGATACATGAAAATTGCTTTGAGCTAACATTCTGAAAAGGCAAAAATTATATAAAATTCCATAATAAAAATGAAAGCTTAGATTTCCTGTTTGTTTGGGGTTTAAATACAATGTTGGCATGTTATTTGTATTTTCATCTCTCTTGTAACTGCAGTGACAATTATTGAAAAATTACTGTTAGAAAATTACAAAACACTCAGCTCTCCACATGCAAAGTGAAGAGACCTGCATTATAAATCATTCTCTGGTGATGAAAATGGAATTTTTCATATATCTTTAGACTTGTATTCACCCACCTATTCTTCCTATTAATCTCTTGTAAAACTACTAACTTTATGTGTTTGTTAGCGGTTTCAGAGAAACTTCTATTTACAAGAATTAATGTATGATTTTTCCTCCTATTCCCAACTGTTGCATTGTAGAGAGATGCCAAAACACACAGAAAAGGAGTGTTCTTACCACCTAACACAAGGTATGCCATTTCAAGTTCACAGACGTGGCTCCTCATTCAAAAAAATGTCCTCAGCTGCCCTGACAGATGATGGGGAAAGGAGAGGAGTGAGGCAAGTCCAGGATGTGGCATGGAACAGAAGCCTAAGCTGAGATGCATTAAATAGCTCCCTGGAGCAGCTGCTCTCCCTCTGCCTCTCTGTGAGAGGTGTACAGACAGTCTATACACTAAGCCTATGGAGATCAGCATTCCAATATGGTTATATTGGTTGCAATCCTAAAACAAGATGGTGTGAATATTCCCCAAGAGGAGCTCTTAATACCGGATGCCAAAATCACCAAGTTACTACGATAAAAAAATCTGCCATATGCTGCTATGCATTTCTAAGAGATTATTGTCTTTCAGGTCTTGTGGCTTTCTTTCCATTATAGATATTCATACTGCCATCCAACAGCACGATATCGTGCCCATTCTAAGCACAATAAATGAGCTGCAGCAAGTCCCTAGAGAAGACCTTACGACTAGAGGATGCTCTTTCAGATTAAGGCTTCAAATTCTATGACCTTTCCAAAATGTAAACACTCATTCAACGTGTGGGGATACATACATAACTGTCTTCCTAGAAAAATTATACTTAGGGGCAAAACTCTGCTGCATTATTATTAAACCTCTTCCACTTCATGAGTACCCAGCCCTGACCAGGGTGCAGACAAAAGTCGAAGACAGAGAACTTTCAAAGCTCCATTAAATGTTATCATGTTTATTAGCATGTATTAGTATCAGAGGTGACTGGAAACAGCAAAAGAAACAAAAGGTACAGAAAAGTGAAAACAAAAGTTCTTGAATTACTTCTCTCATTTTCTGACCAACAGAATTAGCTTTTTTTCTTCTAATAGAGCACTAGCGGACCTGAGTGATTCAGTAAGACAACATGCCATGAACTAACTGCACCCATAAAGAGAGTTTCTCCGCAAACAATCACTGCGGATAATGAGACCTAATCCCAACATCGTCTGCTTAGTGACTATAGAATAGTTCTGTCCAGCAAACTCCTTTCATTAAAACATGTTTTGCTTTGCTTTTGAGAACTGTTCTTTCCTTTGGAGGGGAAAGGATGTTTGCTGTAGGAGGATTTTGAATTTAAGGGTCACGGCTATTGCATAGCAAACTGGCATATTCATGTTGCCTGGACTTCCAAGGAATGTCTAGCTAATTTGTTTTTAACTAGACTGCTCATCTGATTTCAGAATACTAAGCATTTTATTTCAGTTTTCTTGTTCCAGCATAATTTCAAGACCTTGTTTTAGAAGATGGGTCTGGGTTCTGCCCAACCATCCAAAATTTTCAGCTGCTACAAGAAAATATCTAACAACTCATTCAGTTTGCCTCTGAAAGCAGAAGAAGCCTGTTTGTGTTAGAATATTTACAGAATCTTACAAGCCTCCCTTAACTATTATACACTTAAATAATATTGGTTAAAAGCTCCTTGGTTAAAGAGTTGGACTGTAAGTAGTATCAAGTGTCTATTGGGCTTGTGTGAAAGGCAAATTTTCATGTACTCTGAGCTTGCCCAGAGCCGGGACAGCAAGGGGCCCGCTCTTACACAGCGGGTATCCTCTCCCCACTGCAGACAGGGTAGACAGACTGTCACTGGAAACACATCCAGAGGCTGACATAGACAAAATAATGCATTTTTCCTTGCCTTTACTCTCAGAAACATCTCATTCATGGTTTGTGGGTTGTTTTCTTGTGTGTGAGTATCTGTGGAGGATGGGAGAAGGAGGAGGAGGGAAATTGAGCCCCAGGAGCATACTGGAACTTGGATGGCTCTGGGACACATTCATAGGTGTGGTGGGACACATTCATGGGTACAACTGTGTCAGTTTACAACAGAGTTTAACCAGTGGCTCTGAATGTAGTTACTATCCAGTTCCTGCCCAGGTTACTGCTGTTGACTTCATTGGCCAAGGCTTTTTAATATACCAATCAGTATAAATCAGCATACAGACAAAAGAGTCTTTCCACAAGGAGCATGCTTCCTCCCTATTAGGTCTCTTTAAGGAAAAAGACCTTGGACCTATTCAGTGGATCAGGACCTTCCATGGCTAAGACGCTACCACATGGCACAGGAACAATGTTAATTTAATGGAGGCAACATGCTATTGTATTTAGGAAGTTCCCAAGTGAACCGCCTTTGGCTTCTCTATGCTCCTCTTCCGAAACAGTTCACACTGTGGCTCATCAGGTTCATTCCATATTCATTCACACAACAACCCTGCCTAAATCTAAAGTTATGTTCGATGCTACTTTACTTCTGTCTTGACTGAATTTTCCCTAAGCTCCCCTGACTTCACTGGACCTTTCACCCTGGCAGATGCAAAGCCAATTTGACAAATTATGTAGGTACAAGAAATACAGGGGGGGTGTTTTTATTACTACTACTAATAATAATTAATTTAAAAGTTTTAAAATTATTATTTTATTTGATGGAAAGTAATGGACTGACATAATATTTTGCATGTAGGCTACTCAATGAATTTGACTGGAAGAAAGGCACACAAACAATGCACTTTTGCTACTCATTTTGTTCCAAACAATTTATGAACACATTATTTTTCAGCATAACTATTCAGCACAAGATGTAGCACAGACTTGTATTTTAGTTTCACTAAAATCAGATGACAGTACATCTCACCTTTTCTCTCAAATAGTAGTTAGCTTTTGTTACTTTGTAAAACTACATTTCTGTTTGTGAAAACATTGTTAACAGGATCAGGATCCTTTATCTTTCCTAACTGTTGATTCCCCACTGCAATGCACTACTAGCTACAGTAAGACACACAGGAAGATGAGCA